GGGGTTTCCGCCAACAGTTGTTCATTAGGGTCTAAGGAAAAATGTGAGAATAACAGGGGCTGCAAACTCTGCCCCGCGACTTCGTGAGGATGTATTGCAGAGGACAAGGTGTAAGATACAGTGGGTAACAGGAAAATATAGTAGACACGGAGGAGAGAGAGAAAAGGTCCAGCTTCAGACAGTTGGTGATAGTGAGGAAGGCTGGATGTAATATTGAGGTGTCTGGTATAAGATGGGAGCAAGTTTGCTTGATCTGAAGAAAAACCTAGGGCCAGGAAAAAATAATTTTAAAAGTGTGCCGGCCAAGACGGCTCCGAAAGGTCCTCGTCTGCTCTTGTTCACAGTGGGCCAGGGCAGTCTGTGGTCTAAGGGAGCAGCGTGAAAACAACCTCCACCACCCTCAAGACAAAGGTGTAAAGACGTCAACTCTGACCTGCCCTATCTCCCTCTGATTACTCTCTCTGAGTGCTCACACTGCCCCATCATGAGCTGCCCCATCGAGTACCACGTGAGGAGGAACTGTGGCCCTTCCACCTCCTACAGACAGCCAGGCTGGTGAAGATCCAGAAAGACAGCCAGACTTCAAGAGACCAGGGTGTGTTTGGATGCCAGAGGAAGAATTCAGCAGACAGGGAGAAAGGAGTGGGGTCCTGCGTGGCAGAAGGGCTGTCAGAGCATGAGCTTCCTGAGAAGGACAGCTGGGGTAGGGCCTGGAAAAGAGCACAGTGACCTTCAGCAGGAGAGGGACACTTTTCATGAGTCTCAGAGTCACATGCTTGTTTGTTTGACAATGCAGGCTCTTGAGTCTGAGAACCTATGAAAGAAGCAAATCTGTTAAGCTTAGTTAAAAGAAAGAAAACAGGGCCTGGGGATTTAGCTCAGCGGCATAAGCGCCTGCCTTGAAAGCAGGCAGTCGTGAGTTCGATCCCTGGTAGCGATAAAAAAAAAAAAAAAGAAAGAAAGAAAGAAAACAAATGGCATTAGTAAAAAGAAAAGGGACATTATGGAGAATATGGATGATATGAAAGCCATTGTAAGGAATCTGATACGCAACCATAAGGTAAGGAATTTGAAAATTCGGGGGGAGTTCTTTCTGAGATAATTATTAATGATCAATTGATAGAATTGTCTCACAGATAGAAAAATTAGACTAAGAACCATGAGAGAAATGAAAATAGCTGCTAAAGAATTACACTCAGGAAGATATTGGACACGTTTTCACAGATTGTTTCAGACTCTGAAATTTCATTGTCCAATATAGTGACAGACTAGTTAACATGAAATTAAAATGAAGTAAAATCTAGTTCTTTAGCTGCACTGGCCATTTTTCAAGCACTCAATAGCTGCACGTAGATGGTGGTTGTCGTGTTGGACAACACAAATACAGACAATCCTGTCACCACAGAAAATCCCAGGGACACGGGCTGCTCTGAGGAATCATTTCTGTACTGTATAACTTATTTCCAGGTGCATAAACAGGCTGTGAGTGTCTAAATTTATTCTGTGAAACTAGGATGGCTGTGATACACAAACATGGCCAGGATGAACATCACAAAGCTTGGAAATCCATTTCACTTATGAGTACAGAGGTAACCAAAATGTGGTGAATGTTTAGAAGATTGTCCCTCAAGATATTTCCCCATTTTTTGAGCATATTTTTCCCATAACTTTTGTCCTTTCTAAAGCAGCTCTGGAAGCCCTCTTTCATGAGTGTCCTTATAAGGTGTGGTCAAAGTACAGTGACATGCTGCCGCTGAATGCCATTGATAAAAAGGCAGGCTTATAAGAAAACATTACATTGTGTCCTCTTTTACCTTATACAGCTGATCTGACACTGAATTTTGGCTGTCACCCAAAGTCAAAATGACCATAAGAGGTAAACATTTTAAACTGATTCAGGACATTGTGGTGTTGCAGAACTGGTACCAAACTGAAAGAAAGATGCTTGCATCAAACAGTTGGAAGGCAAACTATTTATTACACCCTCGGGCTGGTGGGAAAACCACTTCCAATCACCAGCCCTGACTTGGGGTAAAACGGAAATTTAAATATGATTTGCAAGCAGTAAGCCCAAAGGCCAATAGTGAACCAGCCTATAATTGGTTACATAGATTGGATCATACATTGTTAGGCAGATTTGTTTCAGGCACTTTAGCTAGAAGGATTGTTTACCATAAGACAGGAGAAACTAGGGAGGGAGCTGGGCTGAGGGGTGGTGGAAACTAAGTGTGTCCTTAAGTAGTCTATGTCAGTGAGACAGTCCTTGAAAACAGAACACATTTACCTGTCAGACAGCACGGGCAGAATGTGGTCTGACTGAGCCAGGTCAAACTATTTCTAAGTTTCAGCTGGCATAGTCCAACCATGTGGGGGCTGAGTAAGCCCATCTTGTCATAACATGGTGTCAGACTGCTGGTTTTTAAATTTTCTGTCACAGAGACAGCCATGATGCCTCTTCGGGAGACACTCCAGAATTCCCTTTTAGGTGTACATTTCCCGTCACGATGAGCAGTGAACTCAGTTTGCTCAGGTTCTATTTTTTTTTTGTCTTTTAAAAAATTTTTATTTAAAGAAAGACTAAACAAAACAGAAAACAGGTAGAAATAATACATACTTTCAAAGGAAAAAAATAAACAATGAAAAATCACTAGTATGATTATAGATTGTCTTCTTACAAATAGTTATTCAAGATACTAAAGTGGAGTATATAAAGTGGGGATTCAAACAGTGAGACTGCAACCAGTTCTGTTCAACTATCCAACAAAAACTAGTTATCAATCCTACACATTTAAACATACATGCAGTTATCCATCTCTTCAATTACATTGAGACTGATCAAACCCAAGCAGGCTAATATCACTCTGAACAAAGAATAATACTATTGCTGGATTTCACATTATGATACTCCAGGATCAGCACTGGATACTTTAGTGTCTCTTTTTCTTCAAAGTATTTGTTTGTTTCATTATGTGTCATAAGATCAGTTCTCATAAACTGTTTATAAGTTCTATACATGCATGAGTCTTAACATGTATTTCTCTCCTTTCTGTATTAGAGGGAGAAGCAAGACAAAACAAAACATATTCCTATAAACACATGAAACGAAAAAGACATATAAGACCATTGTAAAAGGAGTTCTACCATAGTTCCTGTGTTGTCTCTTGTTATCTTCAGTAGAATTGGCTATATCATCAGACATAGTATAATTGAATATATCAGTATTAATAAAAACACAACTTTGTATATAGTATAAAACTTCAAAAGCAGGCAGTTATCAAACCAGAATGTGTATCATAGTGAGTCTTGTCATCTTCAGTGTAGTTGCCTATACTCTCAGACTTGATACTATCAATCCTATCAGTTTTGAATAAAATTTGTCAATACCAAACAGCAATCAAACAAACCAGATTTAACTAAGATCAGTTACGATAAAACAGTATAAGTCATACAGGGCTCCAGATTAAGTTAATAGGAAATTAAAGAGGATTACTATGATATATCCTGATGTTTTTAGGATAGCTGTTTGTAGCTTCAAATCTAAAGCAAGTAGACAAACTGGGACAGAATAAAATCTATCTAAGCAGATAATGGTGCGAGTAATGTACACTATTAACAATATCTTCTGCCATATTTTTTAAGACTCGCCCTCCTCTTTCATTTCCCCAGGGTGCACTGTGCATTTTTGGGTCTGGCCAAGACCCTTGGTTTTAAGTTGTGGGGGTGGGGTGGGGTGGGCAGGAACCTGCTATTTATCTAAGTGGTTCTGACTTCAATCTCCTGGACTTGATCTCTAACTGTATTCCTTTACCTATTAAAGCCTGTCTTTCGAACCTATTCACAAATACTGGTCTAGTTGCCCCTATTACTCTCTGGTTCTCTGTCCCATAGAGCATTGTTTTCTCATATTTGATTTTCAGTCCATGTACTCTTTTTCATGTTAATTATGTTTTCTATAAATAGCATCTTTGTGGACCCTGCCTCCTGATCTACTCCACATGTGGTTCTTTTCTTTTTAATTTAGTGTATCAAGGCCATCTATGTTAGAGATTATAACCAACTTTCTCTGCCTCATTTCTGTTATGCTCTTTTTTTGCCATCAGTTGTGCTTGTCTTCTTCATTCTGTTTCCTGCTCCATTCATTGAGGCCTCTCTGCCACTGTTCCTGGAATCCTAGTACTTTTCTTTCTCTCTAGAATGCCCTGCAGTATTCTCTGTGGAGTTGGATTGGTGGTTGTGAATTTCCCAAGTTCCTCTTTGTCTTGGAAGCATCTTGTTTCTCCATTAATTTCTAGAGACAGTTTTTCAGGATATATCTATCTGGGCTGGAGGTTCTTTTTTTCAGGGCTTAGAATATTTTGCTCCAGGCTCTTCTTGACTTGATGGTTTGTGCTGAGAAGTCTGCCGTTATTCTGACGGGCCTTCCTTTATAGCTTATCTGTTTCTTCTGTCTAACAGCTTTTAGTATTCTGTTCTTATATTGACTTTCTGGAATCTTGATTACTATATGCCTGGGTGTAGCTCTGTTTTGGTTGTAGGTGGCTGGAGTTCTGTATGCCTCATACATCTGAATATTTCCTATTCCTATCTTTGGGAAGTTTTACTTAATTATTTCTGTGAATAGCCTTTGTAGTTCCTTTGTTTGTATCCCTGCTTCTTCATTCACATTCTTTATTCTCAAGTTATAGATCCTCTTGTCACCTTCTAGCCTTTGTATTGTTACTGCTTGTTTCCTTGTTATTTTTAAAAAGTTTTTCATTTCATAATCCCACATTGCAAACCTGTCTTCCAGGTTGGATAATGTATCCTTAGTTTCTTTCAAGCAGATTTGCTATCTTTCCATAGAGTTTTTAATTTCCTGGTAATGTCTTTGAATCTGCTTCATGTATTCTATATATTCTTTATATTCTTCATCAAATAGTTCTCCCCTTTGTTTGAGTTCCTCCCTTCTTCTATCTGGGTCTTCTTGAGGGGTGCTTAGTGTCTCTTTTAATAACCTTCTTATATCTTGTTTTACTTGGCTAAATATTTCCCTTTTGAACTCGTCAATGAGGTTCCAAAGATATCTCTTTATGTCCACTGGTGCCATGTCTGATATTGCATGTTTGCTGTCCTCAAATCCTTTGTATTTATCTGTCCTGGGTCAATGTTCTCAGGATTGGGACCTGGGGACTTTTTCTTGTTGCTTCCTCTTCCCATCTTTTTTGCTTCTTCCAGGAGGCCCCAATTTCTTTCTTTTTTGGTTACAATTCTGTTGAAGCATGCTGGCTAGGTGACCATTCCCTCTGCCATGTGCTAGTGAATTGCAAACAGGGGCAGTGTATGCTGGCCCCTCCCCTCTATATCAGTCAAACTGCTGAGGCTTTCACTGTATTAGTGTGCGCTGCCTCCCCTCCAGGTCAGTCAACCTGCTGAGGCCTTCACTGTGTTAGTGTGTGCTGCCACCATAGGGAATTGATTTCGGATCATCTATTGGGTCTCAGCCAGGTCTCATGACATAAGCCTAGCTCACTCCACCAATCCTGTTTGGGAAGGGAACAACTGACTGAAGTCACTGCTGCCCCTTGTTCTTGCCAGTGCTGCCCACTCCAAGAATGTTGTCTGTTGGAGCCCCCTTCTCTGTGGAATGGTTTTACTCCCATCACTCACCATAGGTCGATACAGGTTCCCCACTAGCTCAGCTCTCTGTTCAGCACACTGACCCCCGACCTCAGTGTGCCTGTATTTCCAGTGACTTGAAGCTGCGGGATTTCCGACAGCTCGGTAAGTTGCCACGGCTCAAGTTCGGGCACTGCCTCGGGAGCACTGAACCTTTAGCTGTTCCAGTAGTAGCACTGGGACTGTGTGTGTGATTGTTTCCTCTAACCTTAATTTCTTCTTGGGACAAGAGAATTCATCTCCTTCTGTTCGGGACTCCCCATGCTGTATTATGTTGAATTCTAAGTTGACACTCTCAGGGAGCCTCTATAGCCTGCTGTTATCTATCCGCCATCTTGGTCCTCTCCTTCAGGTTCTGGTATTGATCTGAGGTCATGGCTGGTTAGTCAATGAGAGGCAGCTATTCATTCATCTATTGACAATAGTTGGGTTGTTTCTGTGTCTTGACTATTGTGAACAGTGTTGGAATGATAAACCCTTGATAAGTTGAAATTATCCTAAGTCAAAAATGCATTTGATACTCCTAACCTACCAAACACTATTGCTTAGCAACACAATACCAGATATAGTTTGGTTATTTGCCCTCATGACCATGTGGCTAACTATGAGTGACATCTCAGGGTTGGTGTCCACTGTGGAGAGAGTGTTGTATCACAGGTCACTCAGCTGGGAAAAGACCAAAATTCATACCATCGTGCAGTTGATTAATTGTGCTAAGCTGGGGACTCTCTGTACATATACAAATGTGTATATGTAGATTGGAATACACATGGTATGTGTTCAGCTTTAAAAAGAAGGCAGCTTTGCAATTTAGAACAATATGGATGAAGCTGAAGGATCCTGTGCTAAGCCAAATAAATCAGGGGCAGAAAGACTCATACGGCACATCTCATAGTAGAATCTAAAAGGTCAGCCATCATTTCTTTGAATTAGCTCTCCACTCCTTTTTCTCTCCTCTTTGAGACTGCCATAATTCACGTTTGTCCACTTGATTATGTCTTAGGTCCATTCATTTTTCTCCATTCTCTTTCATTTGTTTTTCTTTTTGCTCCTCTGACTGGCTATTTTTGAATGACCCTCTTAGAGTCCATGCACCCTTTCCAGATCTTCTTATCTGGCCACCTGGCTGTCACCCTGCCTATGATGTTGGGTTTGTGTATTTAAACAAAGTGTATGTTCTCTTTATTTTCCATCATGAACATGCATTATTTTTATAACCAAGGAAACTGTTATTTTCTGAACGTTGTGACTAACGGGAGATTGTTGAAATTCTAAAGTGAAATCATTGTGCTCTGAACTAATTAGGTTATAGAAAGTGGGCTGCGGAACTGAAAGAATCCACGTTTTCCCAGTGTGGTCCAGTTTCTGGGTAGCTCACGCCAGCCCCTGAATCATATGGAACTGGGGAGCAGGCAGAAGCAGCAACAGGAAAGACTTGCATTCTAAGTGGGACAAAGCCACACACTCTTCCTGCCAGCACAGGTGCCCTTTCTGCTGCTAGATTCACAAAGCCTTGCACGATATGTTCTAGCTGCTTGGACTTGACCTTGAGTGTGGCCATAGACAGTGCTGAACTTGACCCAAAACTCCTGCACTACTGGAAGATGAGAAGGAGAGAGAATTTCCTCCTCCTCTTTCATTTGGGGAAGCAGAGGACATATATATGTATATGTCATGGGTGCACATGTGCATATATACGTATGTGCTCTCTGCCAGGAATTCTCCTGCCTCATGTGATTACCTGACACCCATCAGTACCTCCTTGTTTTCATAGAAGGGACCACAAATGACTCCCTCAATTCCCATTCTTTGTTTCATAAATGATTTTCAAAGCTGCTTGTCTCTACCCATCAATCTGAGCAAAACTCTTAACCGAACTCTCCCTCCAGGTTCCTGAGCCAGCACCCTTTCCTGCTTGCCAGCCCCTCTGGATCATAGGCTAATTTGGGGGTGAAGCATGTTGCAGTCTGTTTTCCAATCATGCTGTTCCTTTCCTTCCAATCTTCTAGCCTTGTTTTCTCCTCCCTATGAAAGAAAGCCCTTTACCTAAGCCTGAGACACTCACAGGTCTTATGGTCAGAGAGTTCTCCCTAACAAGAGCTCCTTTCCCCTACTTTTACAATAGCCTTTTTGGGTAAAGACTCCTCTTACTAAGCCTAGACTTGTTTTGGATACTGTGTAAATATGAAAGAAAACAAGAGCAAAGCTCTGAATTTCCCCCTGAGGTAAGAACCAGAGCCAGTAAGAACACCCACTCACCAAATGAAGCTCCTGAGCACCCCGCTTAGCTGACAATAAGGCACCTCAGTGTCTGGGATCAGCAGCTACCGCAGCCCCAGCTGGCAAGGTCTGAAGTGTGGGCTGAGATAAGGAGAACAGGGTACCATCTGCAGAAACTTGATGCAACAGCTCTGGGAAACAAGATTGCAAACACGCTGAATAAATAAAAAGAGGGTTCATTGATATCAACGCAAAGCTAGAACAAATTTTATTGCATTTATGTAGAGAAAAAAGTGTTGCAGGAAATTAGGTTCATTTTTGCAAAATCTGTGCTGGATTTCTTCTGCCAGTTTTCTGGAAAAAACATCATTTTTGTGAGTGTGTTTTTGTCTTTCAGGCTCATATTGTTCTGGTGAAGCAACACAAAACTCTTAGATCTGGCTTGACATTTTGTGCAGAGCAGAGTTTCAGCTCTGAAAAACCTGATGTTTCACCTGCAGGCAGATTATTAAAAGGCACACAACTTTCTAACCATTAAGGACAAACAGGCTGATGGCTAACTTATTAAGGATAATTATAGCATTTAAACTCAAGGGCATAAATTGGCTAAGTGGGTGATTTACCTTGATAGACAACAAAATTATATTTAAATATCAGCGAGAGGACACAAACCACATGGAGATGGCTGTTGGATGGGCTTAAAAGTTTTTGGAATACCTTTGCCAGGATTCAAAATATTTTCTGTAATTTCTGATTTCTTTCCGTGCTGTGGCTTTTGAGAAATTAAGGACTTCGTTTCCACTCGAGTTTGACCGTGGTGACCATTGCCACCTTACAGTGAATGTAGCCCCATAGCCACTCTGTTCAGTGTGTTCTGCCCACAGACCCGCAAAACTGGGAGGAATCTGAGCAGCTGCCACCCCTCCTTTCAGGTGGAGTCAAGTGTTTCTGAAAACTGATCAAGGACTTGTACGGCCTTAGCAATGTCTGATTTTCTTCAGAAAGTAACCTGTAAAATTTTACTTGACTGGGCCTTATTTTGCTGCTTTATAACATAAGGCATTTGCATTAAACTGCTTGTGTGGGACACAGGGTCCCTAAGCAATAATGGAAGGCCTGGCGCCATGTTCAGTGTACACTCTGGGAACTGGCTTACCCACGATCACGCGCTTCCCTCTGGCCTTGGCTCGGTTATCATCCCTGTATCTCTGATGTCAGTGTGAGCATCATTTTCTCAGGGACCTGGCTCTGCATACAGTCATTTATTTTGTTAATGCCTGAGTTTCCCACCAGCCCTTGAGCTCCAGGAAGGCAGAGACAGTGTGGGGATTTGCTCACCTTGCACCCCTGTTACATGCACAATGCTTAGCCCAGAGTAGGTACTCAAGAAATATTTACTAGATGCTAAACAAATAGGGAGAGCATGGGATCCCTAGGGAAAAGCACACAAAGGGTGGTGCAACCACAGGAACAAGTGGACTAGATGGCTTGTTACCAAGGTAACAATGCTGCCACTCAATGATTGTGAAAGGAAGTGCTCTTTCTCTGTGTCCTGCCCTCTTTACTCTCAGCCTTCAAGGCTATCAGCCCAGCATGTGTCCACAGAGCTTGGGACAATGTGGTGGCAAATCAGTTCATCTGGTTCTCCTACCCCAGGGGCCTTTAAGCTTCAGAACATCTTTAGGTGGGTGTAGTGGTGATGCCTGTAATTCCAGCACTCTGCGAGGCTGAGGCAGGAAGATTCCAAGGGTCAGCCCAGACTGGGTAACTTAACTTAGTGAGACCTTGTCTCAAAAATTAGAAAGGTTGGAGATGACACTCACAGTGAAGGCCCTCAATTCAATTCTCTGTACTGCAAAAGAGAAACAAAACTTCACATTAGTGAACAAATATTGACCATCTTTTCAGTTAAATCTTTTACATGTTTTTGTTCCCAACCTTTTACTGTGAAAAATTTCAAATCTACAAAAAATTTTAAAAAACAGGACCAAGAATAGCCTTCTTAAACTTACTAATTACAAACATTTTGCTAACTTGCTTTGACTTTATTGTTACACGTATATGGTTTTTTTCTTAACAAATTGAAAAATAAGTTGTAACTATTGTGACATTTTACTTCTAAAAATGTTATCAGGTATCTTCTAAGAACAAAAACATTCTCCTACACAGCTATAGTACCATTATCTCAGCCAAGACATTTGACACAGAAACAAAAGCCTAATGCACACCCATATTTAAATTTTTCTATTCATCCAACAGTATTATCATATCATTTTGTTTTGGTTTTGCTTTCACTCTCTGTGTTGTAGTCCAGAATTCAATAAAGGGTCACGTCCTGCATCTAGTTCTTTTGTCTGCTTATTCCCTTTGAGCTAGAACCACTTCTTCCACATTGCTTTAGTCTTTGCTAAGACTTGAGCAGTTCTGGAGGGACCAGGCTGCCTCTCTTATGGAACATCCAGGCCCGCGTAGACTGTAACATTGCTAACCGCAGTTTATCCAGTGCTGTCACTCCTTATTATTCTGTGTTACTTGGCCGGCTTCTTCCTTGCAGAGTCACTTTCTCCACCACCACCTGCCCTCCCTCTTCACGCTGCCACAGCTCTCTACCCCAGTCAGTGAAAGGGGCAGCTCACATGACCATGCTGAGTCAGTGGGGCAGAGAAACGTGCTCCTTCCGGAACAGAAGACTGAGTGTTGCTGAAGTCAACAAAACTCACCGTCATCCCATGCCTATTATTTTCTATCTGTAAAGCAGGAAGAACACCACTTGTGTAGATACCAGAGGTGCAGTCTGATTACTAGTCAGTGCTATGATAGGTGACGACTAGAATGTCGGTGTGGTCACAGGCAGCAGTAAGAAGCAGGAAGCACTGTTTTAGAGCTTTTCAGTTTGCCATTTTTGCACAAATCTGAACTGTGAAGGAAGTGGACAAGAGAATTTTGCCTCTGAATTTGCTCACACCTAGATGGTACCTTGCTTCAGAGATCATAAAAGCTCAGTACCCAAGCTCTGTTTGCATTGTAGCCTCAGGGTGACATTACAGTCTGCCCACGGGTGAGGTGAGTGGTGTCTTCAAGATCCCGGGAAGAAGCCTCTTCTTCAGGAGCTCTGACAACTTCTTCCTGTCTCTCCCACTGACAGCACCACAGGAAGAGTCTTGGCCACTTGGCAGACAAAGGGGTTTAGAGCTCAGCTCTTGTTGCCAAAAGATGCCACTCATCTCAAAGTTGAGGAAGGAAACAGATGCTTTAAAACCATTTCTAAACTGACTCCACCATCCTGGGGCATCCATCTGGAGAGAATGACTGCTTCATACGTGGGGTGGGGAACGCATGAGGAAGGGAAGCAAGTGCAAGGCAGGCAGCAGTGTGGAGAAGGCAGAAAGACAGGCTCCGAGAGTCAGTGGTACATTTTCAAGGATTTTGTAAGCTGGTTGACATCATGTTGGTATCTTGCACCTAGCACTGTAGGGCCTCGCTGTATTACTCATGAGGTTGGGCTGGAAAATGTGGCTGGTCAATAGGCTCAAAATTCAGTCTGAAAGCAAAGCAAGAGCCATCACAATCCTAGATTTGATGTTATATTACAAAGCCACTGTGATAAAAACAGCATGGTAGGGGCACAAACACAGGCACATAGGTCAGTGGAACAGAATAGAGGAAGCGTAAAAATAACCCAGGCAATTCAGTTATTTGATGTTTGACAAAAGGACCAAAGACATACACTGAGGAAAGATAGCTTCTTGAATAAATGGTGCTGGGGGAAACTGGCCATCCACATGTAGAAGACTGAGTCTAGGTCCATGTCTTTCACTATGAACTAAGCTAAAATAAAAATGGATTAAATATCTAAATGTTAAAACAGAAACAATCTGTTGGAAGATTAAATAGGTAGGGGCTGGGGATTTAGCTCAGTGGCATAAGCGCCTGTCTTGCAAGCCTGCAGTCGTGAGTTCGATCCCTGGTGCCGGTAAAAATTAAAAAAAAAAAAAAAAAAAAGATTAAATAGGTAAAACTCTTGAAGACATAGGCATAGACCGAGACTTTCTAAACAGAAACCCAATGGCACAAGAAATAATACCAAGAATCAACAAATGGGATGATGTCAAATTCTAAAACTTCTGCACAACATCAGAAAGCAGCCAACAGAGTGAAGCTACAACCTACAGAATGGGCAAAAAAGTTTGCCATCTATTCCATGGACAGAGGACTAACATCTAGGATATATAATGAACTCAATAAAACTAGCCCCCCAATAAAAGACCCAATCAAGAATGGACAACTTAAATGAATATATACTTCTCAGAAGAAGAGCAAATGGTCAATAAATACATGAAAAATGCTCAGTATTGCTGGTCACCAGAGAAATGCAAATGCAAACAACACTGAGATACTATCTTACTCCAGAAAGAATGGCTATCATTGGGAAGTCAACCAATAGCAAATGCTGGAGAGAATGTGGAGAAAAAGGAGCTCTCTATATTGTTAGTAGAAATGTAAACCAATATGCAAATCAGTGTGGAAATTTCTCAAAAACCTGAAAATAGAAATCTTGCTTCACCAAGCTATTCTCTTTCTAGTATCAGGGATACACACATACCTATGTTTATAGCAGTGCAGTTTATAATAGTTAAATATTGCCCATCAAGCAGTGAGTGGATAAAGAAAACGTGTTATTTATACACAATTGAGTACTACTTAGCCATAAAGAAAGATAAACTTGAGGCATGCATAGGGAAGTGGTTCACCTTGAGACTATAATATTAAGCGAAATAAGTCAGACACACAAATATTGCATGGTTTTCTCATATGAATATATATGGAGGAAGAGAGAGGATAATTAGGGTGAATAGGAAGTAGAGAGATTTTTTCAAATGAATGAGAGAATGAGATAAAGAGGGTAGAGAGGAGAGGCAAAGAGGATGGAAAAATAAAGAAAGACAAAAAATATATAAGTAATATATAAGTAGACCTTTTGCAAAAGGGAAAGGGACCAAGAGTTGGAAGGTGTGTGTGTGTGTGTGTGTGTGTGTGTGTGTGTGTGTGTAGTGGGGGGAGAGTAGAAGGGTGGAAAAACGAATTAAAATGTATCATGGCCATTACCAGCTCCCCTTAATAAATGTGATCATTATGTATTGCAAACTCACACTAACAAAAATACATAAATAAAAAAGGAGAGCACTGAGATATAAAAAAGCACACAGCCCGAGTTGTCAGGCAGAGAGCTAGGGGCAGCTGTCCTGTGCATCTGCATCTGGAGGGAAAGTGAGGCCTGGCTGGGCAGCTGCCTTATGGAGTATGGTTTCATAGACCAACCGCAGACCTTTCTGAATCACCTTGTCATGGTGAATTGAAGAAAACTTGCAATTTTGCCGAGCTTTGCAAAAGATGGTGAAGCCCTCAAAGATGACATATCATCAGACTGCACCACTGCTGCTTTTCCCCAGCAACATGGGCAGGCTGATGACTTCCAGGAGTGCAGGGAAAAGAAGAGCCATTAGCTTGATCATCGCAGGTCTCTTAAGTGAGAATTCATTGAGAGAGTAGCAGCCGTCAGGATGCGGTGCCAGCCGCTATGCCACGGAGTCCCTTCCTTAGCCCTTCCTAGCCCAGCAAGCTCTTAGCAGTGTGTTGATTCTTTTAGCCCTTGCCGTACTCTGAGGCCCTGAGCAACAGCTCAGCTGAGTGGGTTAAAGTGTGGCCAGGTGCCGGTCAGTGAGAACCAGCCACTCAATGCATTGGTCACCAGTATTTATCCAAAGACCAGCTAAAAGACAGCCATGGCTGTCAGAGGTCACAGGAGCCACACATTCCCAGTTGATTCTGATTAAGCACCAGAACTGTTTGCCTGTGCTGTCCTCTTGCTGACCCTCAGGAAGGCTATTAGCTACACTTTCCTTCCATGCAAGGCCCACTGAGTCATGGGTCTCTTAGCGATGGGGACACGTCTTGAGATGTGTTGTGTAGAGCTTCTGTCATTGTGTGAGTATCACAAAGCCAACTCCACAACCTGCCTGGGATAGGTCACTCAGTCACAGTGCCTGGGATCAAACCCAGATCCTTGCACCCTTGTTGGTGGCAGGCAAGTGCTCCATTCTCCTCCCCTCAGCATGCTCTCTTGAGGCAATCAAGATGTGAGAGAGGCTGGGGATTTAGCTCAGCAGCATAAGCGCTGGCCTTGCAAGCATGTGGTGGTGACTTTGATCCCTGGTACTGATAAAAGAAAAAAAAAAGTCTCTTAAATTTTATTTTAAAAAAAGAGAGAAAAGATGTGAGAAACTCAGATGTGTGAGGTGGCTCCTGGTGCAACATAGCTCAGGGTTTTACAGGAGACATGTTTTTGTACACAGTGGTACACTCTAAAATAAGCACGTTGGTGGTGTGTGCCTGTAATCCCAGCACCTGGGAGGCTGAGGCAGGAGGATTTGTTGGGATCAGCACTACCACCAACCCATGAGTAACGTGTTGTACCATAATCTTACAAGAGATGTGACAACTCATGTAACTCTTCCCTTTCTCTTTCCTATCATACCTTTTTTATTAGTATATATTGGTTACACAGATTAATGGCTTTTGTTTTGGCAGATTCACTCAGGCACATGACAGATTTTGATCATTTTCAGCCTCTCTGTCCTCCTTTTTGTCCCACTGTGGATTCCACATATTTTTTGAGACAGGGTCTCACTGTGTAGCCCAGATTGGCCTTGAGCTTGGAATCCTTCCACCTCAGCCTCCCAAGTGCTGGGATTACACTGTGTGACCTCACACCTGGCTTGACACCTGACTTTAGGGTTTGTTTGGCTGCTCTGCAGAGGGAGGCTGGGAGCGCCCACAGGTTTGAGTTGAGGGCATGGTAGAGGTGGGCTGGCTGTGTGAAACTTTGGAGGCAGAACTGATGAGAGTACTTGTTGGGTTTGGATGTTGGGGTAAAGGGAGAACAGGACTGGAGAAGACTCATAGCTTCTGGGTTAGAGTTTCACTAGATGGTGTTGCTATTTCTTGAGATGACTGAGAAAGGATCAGATTTGAGAGTGAAGTGAAGACTTCAATTTGTGCCAAGAGCGGTGGCATATGCCTCTAATCTCAGCACTTAGGAGGCTGAGGCAGGATGATTGTGTATTTGAGGCCATCCCAGGCAACTTAGCAAGTTCAAGGTTGGGCTGGACTGCAAAGACTCTATCTCAAAAAACAAAAAACAATCCAGCTGGAGCAGCACTCTGAATGCTGTCCAGAGTATATCCATGGAGGTGACAAGGTGTTTCTGTGTGCTGGGCCTGGGGACAGAGAAGACCTAGGACACAAACATTTGGGAGATTTTGGGACAGGTGGCATTGTAAGCCATGAGAGTAATGCATCACGTAGAGAAAGTGGAGAAGTAAAGAGAAAAGGTCTCAGGATGTGGCAGCCCAAAGGGGAGTCCAGCAAAGGATCAAGGAAGAGGAGCCACCAGGGAGCTAGGAAGAACACAGGAGAAGGTGGCTTTGCAGATGCTGGGGTGCTGAGGTTCTAACACGAACGTTCACCCAGGAGGAAAGAGGCAGAGAAGCTGAATGAGGTGCAGACAGAGAGATGACCAGGTACTATTGTATTTTGGCAGCACGGAATACCACAAACTTGCTGAATGCAACTTCCCTCAAGAGATGGGGCCAAAGTCAGACAGGGAGTGGGTCCCAAAGTGAACCAGAGTTAAGGAGGGAGACACTGTGTAATCAACTCCTCTGAGTATTGGAGGGAAAGTGGGACAGAAAAACAAGTTTTTCAAGAAGTTTTTCTGGGAAGAGGAACAGAATATTGTGTTTTTCTGAGCGACTGGCATCCCTTCACAGTGTGAAAAAGGATGAATTGGTCTAACTGGCTTTGTTCTCATGTTTGGCTGGAAGACCGAGGCACTAAATGTGTGGCCCACTCATAGCAAGACTGTGGGACTTTATAGTGTGATTTATTTCACCCTGGCTCAACTTTTTGTCCCTATTTTTTCTTTTCAACTCTCCATTGGCACCCACTTTGAAATAATCTCATCCTGTTGATTTTATGCATCATTTAAAAATATTTTCTAAAGAAATATGGAAAACAAATGAATAGTTTAACAGATGCAAAGATTATTAAAGGTTTTTGACACCGTCTTTGTCAAAGTTGGTCTCACTAAGTGCTGGGATGTTTGGATTTATTTATTTGTTTATTTTTGTCTCTTTGACAATGCAGTTTTCATTATGCAGTTCAGGCTGGCTTTAAACTTACTTTGTAGCCCAGGCTAGCCTCGAGCTCACAGTGATCCTCTTACCTCAACCTCCCAAGTTCTGGGTTACAGGCTGTTTGGGTTTATTTTTATAGGTACTGAATAATGCAATTCTTGGCCCAAATTCTATTTTTTTTTCTATGTTAGGACATATCTGCATTGTCATCCTAAACCCGGGCTCTTTGCTTCCAAGGCATGAGTGAAATCCCTGGTGAGATGTGAGCTAGGCGCCAGGTCTGCATTTTCGTTTGACTTGCACGATGTGGTGATTAAACAATAGTCAACTTGCAACACCCCTCTGGACTGAATCAGCGTGGTGCCGGGTGTGGAAGGCCCACCTGATTGTTGCCAACAGCATAAGAGCAGAACTGGAAGGGAAGATGGTGCTGTTGGTTCTCCTGGAGGAGCTTGTTGTGCTGGTTTTCCTGATATGAACTTAACTGTTGTCAGTCTCACTGTCTTTGGGCATGGCTGTGGTTCTCTTTGGGGGAGCTCTGGCCCTTACCTTGAGTATGGCTTCCTGGCTCAATGCAGACCCCTCAGCCTGCTGACACAGATCCTTCACCCCGCTGGCACAGACTTTCCAACTTCCACCACTGGCCTTTGGGCCTTCCTAGCACAGATCTGTGAAACAGATTTGCATGAGACACTGTCATGGGCTCTAGGTCTTCAGCTGGACTCATGTAGGACATTACCATAGGATCCAGGCCCTCAACTGTAGTTTTTGGATCTCTAGTGTGTGGACAGATCTCCTGCCCTCTTTTGCATTTGACTCTTTAGGCGAATATTATAAAATAATCCCATAAGTTATGTGTTCTGTGTTAAATCTGTTCCCTTATAAACACTGACTGCAGCAGGAGCATCTACACTGTGAGCATGTGCGCATTGCAAAAACTAAACACTTCTCCAACTTCATCATGCATCTGCATGGCCCAAGAATCTGCTTAAAAAGCTCATTCTGGTTCAACTGGTCTCAGGTGGAGTCCAAGGGCGCTTCAATGCTGGCACCACTGCTCCAGGGCCACACTTTGAGTCGTGAGGACATAGGCCACTTGGGGCTGTGTGCAAGACACCACGGTGAGCCTCTCTGGAGTTCTGGAAAGTAGAATCATCTCGGCTGACTGGCTATAATCATGTTCACACAGGGACAGCCACCAGGGTTAATAGTAGAGCCTACTTGGATTAGAGACTTCTTCTCTGAATCAGAAGGGGCAGTTTATGTGGGGGACTGTATAACTTCCCACTCTTGTTTACTTGAAGATGTGGGTTAGGGTCCATCCTGGCTTCCTCCATTACGTTTGCAGCAGTGGCCTTTGTCCCGGACTATGTTGCTTCTCTCTTGCCTAAAAGAGTCTCATGCTCGGCAACCCGACCCTGTGGGCCAGAGCTCAGTTCCTTTGGGGGCTCTTCCAGCTGAGGACAGCCCAACAGCAGGGGTGGCTGTGCAGATTAGCTCACTAATTGTGGACAGACTCACGCTTCACAGTAACTGGCAAAATCTTGGGTGAAAGGATGACGCAAGTATATTTCAGGGACAATCTCTGGGGTTGAAAACTCCCTTTTTGGAACATTTTGAAGTCAGGCATTGTGATGCTCCAGCTTTGATCATTTGGCTCAGGATCGCTTTGACTTTTTGAGTCTTTTTTGTTGAAACACTTTTATTTTTTAAAGAAAGAAATTCTATTTCTAGAAGCAGGACTGACTCAGGAAGCCTGGGGCCCCAGGAAACTTTGGCTTAAAGAACAGGTGGTGGTTCCTCCACCTGCCTGTATCCCCAGATCCACTGGTCCCTACTTTGTGCCAAGAGGACTGCGGAGCACCCTCAGCCCCATGCAGCCCCAGAGCTCCATGTTGTTAAAGCAGCTTTGCACCAGGAGGATTTGGTAATTAATCTGACACTGTGTTGCCATGGCAACATATTTATATATCTCAAGAGCAATGAGACTGGGGGAGGGGCAGGATTTGAGAAACCGCTTTACCCATTGCCCTTGCTAGTGATTAGCAAGGGATTATGTTAGAATGCAGGGCAGACTGCAAAGAAGGCTTAGGGATCTAACGTCCACTTGTCCCATTAGAAAGGGGCTGAGATTCCATGAAAGGATTGAGAATGGGCACCACCATAAAAGTCCTAAAAAGTTGTCTCTTCTCTACCCCCCGCCTTTCTCTCTCCTCTCCCTCTGTCGCCCCCCCCTGTGAGGAAATGAGAGGAAGGCAGGGGTGAAGACCCAGCCCAAGGGGCAGAGGTACCTTTTTCTGAGGAGGAGATGCTGTGCAGGTAGCTGGGCAGCTGTGCGCAGAGCTTGGGGGTCTGGGCCAGGCTAGAACTCTAAGTCCAGTGGTTGTCAGTATGTGAGTGATGCCTGAGAGTCCAGGAGATAGTGTAGAGAGGAGAGCAGGGCCACAGCCCAGGCGGAAGAGAGAAGCCAGTGAGGTGTCAGCAAGAGAAACCAGAGAGGTGGGGAACAGAGAACGGGGCAGCAGGAAAGCCTGCAGGAGAAGCTTGGCATTGGTGAGTGGCCATGGGGCGGGACTTGGGAGGACCATGAGCAGCTTTCCATGGGGCAGCTGGGCTGGCAGGTAGGGGACACAGGCTGCTCACACAATGTGTAGGGTGGGGAGAGGGCTGCTTAGGACCAGAAGTCAAGAACAGCACCATGTGGGAATCCTGTCTGTTTTATCATGGTTTCTTCCAAGGCCACCCGGCAGCCGAGTGGCGAGTACAATAGAACATTGACTTTCTGTCCTGTAGCCACACGGAAGAACTGGACACCCATCACTAGACCACCGGATCACTCGTCATGTCCTAAAGAACATCATTTCTTCCCCTGTCCTCAGAAGACATCAGAAGTCCCTTTCATTACTAACCTATATTTTATTCCGAGTCCCTTTACCACTAACATGAGTCAGTTTTTTTCTTTACCAGTTAAGGCCATCACGTTAATCCACCCTGGGTTATCACAGTGTTTTGTGCCTGCTTTGTCTTCTGAGGCGGAGTCTCACCCTCCCAACCAGGCTTGCTCCTCCTGCCTCAGCCTCAGAGCCCCAGACTCCCAGCATTGTCCCGCCGTGCCTGGCAGTGATACGCCTCCTGGGATGATCAAAACTCATGCCAAGTAGTGAGTTCTGGGTTGCAAGAGAGGATTTATTTCTTGCACCTGCCCATGGAGAGTCAGTATTTACATATTTATTCATTATTTTTACCCGGAAGGACTGTTTTCAGCAAGGCACTGGACCCTGTCAAACAACATGACTCAGTCTTCAGCTGACACCGACTGCCCTCAGAACTGAGCTGGGGATGAAACAGCCATGTGTCCTGGAGGTTTCCAGACCCCTCCAGGTCTCCTCAGCCACCTTCACCTCTGCTCAGCCCAGACAAATGGTGAGAAGATGCAGTGCTGGGCACAGTGGGTCAGGTCTGGTTTCCTTTCCTGAGCCAACAGAGGCCTATGGCAGGCCCAGGAAGGGACAGTCAAGCCTGGACATGTCTATTGTTGCCTTGTATTTCCCCACCTCTCCTTGCTATAAAAGACCCCAACACACCTGTACTTGAGGAGACGGTGATTCGAGACAAATGGGGCCCCCATCTCCTCGGACCTAGCTTTTAGTAAATCTTTCTTCCTTTTTACTAAAATAAATGGCTTCTTTTGATTTGATCAGAAGAGAGCAAACAGACCTGACTATCTGGATCTAAGTGGCCCAGTGACAGAGGGAGGAGGGCTGGTTGCTAGAGTAACATCTGCATGCAGTAGGGGTGGGGAGGGATGGGCAGGAGGCCAGCTGTTATTGCCATCATGTGACCAGTGGTGGCCACTGCACATCCAGGCCCCCCTTATGCAGGTGAAGTACAGAGAAAGATGGAAACATTGAAAATGGTCCTAGTGGTGCTAGTGACTTGGGAGGCTGAGGCAGGAGGACTGCAAGTTTGAGCCCAGCTCTGGCCATGTAGCACGATCCTGTCTCAAAATTTAAAAAAGGCCTGGGGACATAGCTTAGTGCAAAGGCCATGGGTGCACTCAGGCCTGAGCTTTCACCCTCCTCGCTTCCACTTGCCCCTTGGGCCTGTTTTCCCCACTGGTCTGAGGCAGCCCCTGCCAAAATCTTGGGACTTGCCACTCCACTTCTGCCTCCTGCCATTCCCCAGACACAAGTCCCTCCCTTCCCTCCATCTGATAAAAGACAGACCCAGACTCAGTAACGAGGGTTTATTTGCCAGGGTTGTTGAAGGGTAGGCAGGGACTGCTAGGTGAGACTGCGGCAGGATTAACAGAACTGGGAAAACACCAGGCCCTCAAGAGTCAGGCAAAGGTAGTTTTCTTCTACAGGGAGGAGTACACTGTTAGAAACAACAGGAGTGGGGAGGTGGTGAAGCTGACTCCTGGTCATCGGGGATGTCCCACCCAGCAGTGGCCAGGGCTCAGCAGGGCCTCCGAGGGAGGGCTGTGACTTGTGGGGGTGATCTGGGTGCCAAAGTTCAGGGCCTGAGGAAGGAGGGAGCAGCAACCAAAGCCTGGTCAGCAAGGGCTCTGCTCTGATTGACCAGCAGGGACAAACAGCTGAGTAAATCATTAGGAAACCAACAATGGGAAGTCAGAGGGTGCATGTCTGGTCTGATGGGCAGAAAAGGGGGCATCCAGGAGGCTTGGCCATGGCATTGTTTGCAGTGAACTTCTTCCAGGAGCACAGAAAGGCAGGGTTGGGTTGGGATTGTTTTCAGCATGGGGTAACACTGTGCATCGCCCCCTTGAGATTTCTTTCACAGTTTCATTATGTCAAGCAGCTAGTACCATCAGTAACCTCTAGTGGCGTGGAATGGCCAATTGTAACCTTAGACCTTGCTGTATCATGTGGGGTCTGGGCAGTGGCATCACTGGGACTTAGTAGAATGATTCTGCTCCCATGGCCATGGTAAGCGATTCATGGGGTGAGTGTGAAATCTGTCCTTCCCTGGAAAACATATTTCTCCCCACAGGTGTATCTCTGTAGGCATCTGCTGGTCTTCTTGTCTTGTTCTTTTGAGGATGAGAGGATGGTGCCCAGACTTTACCAGACAGACAGACAGACAGACACACACACACACACACACACACACACACACACACACACATACACACTTTTCCCTTCTTGGCTGGTAGTAATGGCTCAACAGGATACTCTGAGGACTAACTGGAACTGTACCTGGCTTGTTCCTGCTCAGGTCAGCAAATCCAGAGCCTGTAGAGGCCCATGGAAGTGACCCTCATCTCAGACCTCAGGCCTCCGCTACTCCCTGTCACTGGACAGTGATGCCCAACAAATCCGACCAACTTTGGTTCTCCACTGGCTCCCCCATTTCTAACCCTTGTCTTGCGATATATTTGATAGTCTCCAATTATTTCTAGGGATGTCTTGACATGCAAAAGATAGTCAAGGCAAAATCTGTAGGCAATCAATGTAATTCATCACAGTGTCCCCTTAGGACACTTCCAGGATGGAAGAATATCAAACATTGGACACATGGCCCTAGAAAAGGAGTTTTTTTGCCAACTACAGAATGACATTAGTGCAATTAATCCTATAAAAGAGGTGTCATAGGCTGCAAGGCTCTAACAACCATGCTGGATGGTTTGCAGCCCCTAACCGTTGTGAAACATGGGAACCAAGGACTGGAGAAGCCTTCTGGACTGACCATTCCCAGGTCTGGGCTAGGAGACACCTTTGAAGCTGTCCCTATTCTGAAGATGGCTTTGATCCTCCCAGCCCCAGAGACAAAGACAAGATGAGGGAGGTGTGATTAGCTTCATTATTTATACTTAGAGGAGCTTACATGCTTCAGGGACTACTGATTTAAAGTAATTTCACTTCTCTAAGCATTACTTCTGGGCAGAAGATAAAGGCTTGAGACAGCTCTGGAGATAATTATTTTTCTCCAATTTAGAGTACTCATTAAACCAGCTTTAATGGGAATGTACATTCTCTATAGAGTTTGACTTTTAGGAGAAATTATATCTGCCATAGAAGCTTGTGCATCTCAGTTACCTAGGACTTTCAGGTTTTGAACAATTCTCCCCTATTGAGGCTTAAATATGGAGCAGACTGGGTGAGTCTGAGCTGGCCCCGGAGAAGAGGGCAGTGCCTGGGGGCCTGCACTGTGGTTTTGCCAGAGGGTCTCCACTAAGTCAAGTGATTCAGAGTGCCCAATGCGTTGGTATCACCAAGTTTGTGGAGTACGGGGTGGAATGGCCATTTCAGACTTGTGCATACATCAGCATCCTCAGGGGAACTCGTTAAGACAAGGCTTACTGGAGCCCCATGTGGAGTGTCTGCAGTAGATCTGAGGTGAGGAATGAGAATTTGTGTTTCTATTAAGTTGCTAGGCAATGTGTGTCTATACAGAAGATATCCGTATTCTGAGTACCACCGAAGTAATACAATAAAGTTCTAGGACCTAAGACTCTGAAAAGCTTGGAATTTTCTCACTTTGATTTGGATTGTTTCAAGTCTGCATGTACAAGAGGTAGATCACAAGTCCTGTTTGATCAGTTTTAAAAAGAAAACAACTTTTATGATGAAATAACTTTAAATTCCCTAAAAGGTTTAGTGGAATTTACAGGGGCATCTCGTGGACTTTTCACTCCTGCTAGCCAGGAGACTGTTAATAGCTTGCATACAGCTGAGCAGTTGTTAAACACACACTCATCCGAGTATACATAGGTAAACAGTTCTGTGCAATTTTATCACTGGGTGGCCAAGAGTTGTTTAACTACATCATCGCTAACAGACTCCTCATGGGACTCCGTAATTGTTATATTCATTCTACTCCCAAATCCCTGTCCCTAAGCCTTGGAAAACAATCATCTGCTCTCCATCTCTGTAATTATGTTACCATATTTCACAAATGTTATGTTAATGGAATTAAACGGTATATACACTTTCAACACTAGCGTTCTTCATTTAGCATAACTGCCTTGAGGTTCACCCACATTCTTGTGTGCACGCGCAGTTTATTCCCTCTTATTGTTGGGTAGCATTGCATGGTATGACTGACCCAGTGTGTTTAACCATTTACTCTTTGAAGAACATTTGGGTAGTTTTCAGTTTTGAGATAATATCAATAAAATTGCTACACACATTTGCATACAAATTTCTACATGAAAATATGTGTTTTTTTCTCTAGGATATATGACCAAGAGTATAATTGCTGGTCATACAGTGAGCCCATTTTCAGTTCTAAAAGAAATTTCCAAATTATTTTGCATAGGCCTATAATGTTTTATTGTCTCTCCAGGAGCTTGTGAGTGATCTTGTTGCTCTGCGTCTCACCTGTCTTTGGTATTGTCACTGTTTTCCATTTTAGTCATTCTGATAGATATCCAGCGATATCTCATTTTGATTTTAGTTTGCATTTCTCTATCATGTACTTAGTTGCCATGTGTATCTTCTTTAGAGAAATATTTGTTCGTATCTTCTGTCCATT